CTCACTGTAGCAGCGCTACGCATAAAACGAATATTGTTACCACCCATTGTGTGTGTGAATATTTCTGTGCATGCATCTATGTGTGTGCGTCTGTCCGGGAGTTGCAACTCGGCAACCAAACAAGCTTAGGCGCAGTAATTTTGCCAGCGGGTTTTCCGACTAAGTGTCGCTCCAGGGCCGCAGTACTAACCTTTACGCGCGTCTGAGCCACGCGTGCGCTCGCGTGAGACTTTTGGCAAGAAAATCACTAATTCCAGAACCTGAAATTTTGAGGAGATGTTCCCCGTTAATGTAGAACTTAGAGGTTTCAAATTCAGCCCCAGTTAGGCGCGGTTCTCACGTATAGGCCCGTGAATTTTTTAGCGGGAAAATTGCTAGCTCGGGAAAAAAAGGCTGGAAAGCCGAAATTTTGAAGGGATTTTTCTTCTCCAGGTGCCATGTAGTTACTCGCTTAACGCTTTGAACCTCGGGGACCAGTATGTCATATAACTATTGGGATTCCAGCGATCTTACCACAGCATGAAACGCATCATCGCACGGGCGCACTTGGTGCACGTCGCCAGTGATTTTTCCGGTGAGCAGCCCTTCATCGAGAAAATGCAAATTTAGCAATGCAAAGGATTTCACAATCCGTAAAATCTAAAACCTCGCTAAGCATTACCAACCTTTATTGGGGCTTCGGGGTCTCTGCGATTAGCTAATACGACTCCGGGGAAGCTCCAGCCCTGGGTAAAGGAATGCTTCAGCGGATATCAGGACTTGGGATCTGAAAACGGACCCCAATTAATATTTTGTTTTTCTTTTAATTGTTTCTATTTTTTGTCGTTTTTTAAATAAAATATTTTATTTTAAGATGCATTCTTTTACGTCATATTCTTCTCGAATGAAGGAGAAGGGGGCGGAGAATGTTTAGGTTCTCCTTTACTATTGTTTTCTACTCATCGTGGTTACCGAATTAAATGGATGACAGAAATGTCCCAAATCGCCTGGGTTTTATAGCGGAATTTGAAATATTTCGGTCACTCATAAGCATATTCCGGTCACTCATAAGCATATTTCGGTCAAACAGTGGTGAAGTCGCTTCTTGTTACAAATAACTTTAACATATCCAAACACGTCCCACACGCGAATGCCAGTCCTCATTTCAAGCCTGCATGCTCATGTATGGTAAACAAATATTCTCGTAAAGTTAAAGCACTCTAATCAGCATAGTTTCTGAGTCGGTACTTTGCCGATTATATCAGTTTCTAATTTGATGCGTTTTCGTACACATGACGCAGATATGCGCTGAAGCTGAATTTGAAACCTTTAGGTCAAATGTGGGCACAGAAGGTCCTTATGAAATTTCAGCTTCCAGTCCTATCTTGTTCCAAAAATCGCTTTCCTGCCAAAGAGCACGGATCTTCCCAGCTTCAATACATGAAGCCCAGGAAAGTTGATTTCAAGCTTTAAATGGCACATGGATTAAGAACATCCACGTAAATTTCAACCTCCAACCTGTGCGATTGCTGACTTGACGTGGGTGGTAAAAATCTGAATAAACATACACTCACGCACAAGCGCACAGACAAACTCTCGACAATATGCGTTTTTACATTTGCATAAAAATGCAAAACGCATAATGAGAAACAGTGAACGTGATTTTGCTCATGCCACCGTTCCGGAGCTAACAGCGGAAAGCAGTTACTCTTCAAAGGAAGTCTGATTACTATTTAGCGACGCGTGTGCCATTTGTACCACTACCGCTACGTTTTTGCACAATTTCCTACGACAGAAAGATCCTTAACTGGCAATAAGGTTCACTGCTTCACAGTTTTATATGTGCACTCGTGTTGAAAACATTATCGTTGCTCTTTTCTTGCAAGCTGGGAAGAAGGGAGAGAGAAACATTGACTAATTTGCTAGCTCCTCGCGAAATTCAAGCTACATGGCATGTCTGTTAGTGAGAGAGAATGCGACAATTATATAAATAAATAGAGTGTCCGCACAAGGGACTTGAGCCAGCATGAAAACTAATTTTGTGCTGTTGGCCTGTACACGGACAAGGAGCATCTTCATAAATTTACAGCTTTTTACTCATGTAATTCTTTGTTGAAACTGCTCCAACTCTTGGACTTGATTTTAATGTGTACGAGATGCATAGGCGCAAATAAAAGCTGAACTTCAGTTCTTTTGGTCGCAGATAAAGGGGAACTTCTGCAAAATTTCATTTTTCTAGCTTGACTGGTTCCCATAACCACTTCCAGCCAAAAATATCTTTTACTTGTCTGTACACGAGAAAAGTATATTAACATTTGTTCTGCTTCTGGGAGTGATGGAATTATTCGCCGAAATTTCAGCTCAGTGCTTTTTATGCTTTTTTGCTGTGCAGCGCTATAGCGCTGCTACAGCCAGCAAAAACGCATATTGTCG